TCAATAAAATTAGTAAATGATAACAACACTAAAAATGTGATGAAACCTATAGAAAAAAAAGATACTGATAATTCATCAAGTGATTCTGAATATTCAGATGAAATTAAACATAATACTTTCTCAAAAACTCACAATATATTTACTACATCACCATTATTTCAAGGTAAGGGAAGAGATTCCAAAGATGAACAAGACAACTCTTCCATGAAATATTTATCTTTGATTGAATCCACGAATGAAGAAAATGCTAAAAATGATCATAAGAAAAAGGAAAAAGAGGATAATGATAATTCTTCATGTGATTCAGAATCTTCATATGAAACAAAACTTATTCATACATTGGACAATAGAACACACATAAATGGTCCATTATTTAGCTCAACTCCTAATTCTGATCATACTATTAATAATATTGGCTTAGGCAGAAACAAACTACAAGAACAACTACGTAAACATTTAGCCAAGAATAAAATTACTAAACAAAAGTCTTTTGATTCTGTTAAATCACCTAGTAAGTTGATTAAGGATAATCATTCTCAATATAATAATATTACGAAAGACATTAAAATTGATGAAAATGAATCCAATATAACTGCTACATTGGTTGATAATAATCAAAATATAGATATTATGGATAATATGAAGTTACAAAATAATATGCAAAGTGATTCTGTTATTAATAGCAATAATTTAAAAAAAAAGAAATTTTCAATTAATAACTCTATTAAATGTTCACCTATAAAATTAAAAAAATCAACAAAAAAAAATCAAAATTCTAACGTGTCAGTTGGTACAATTTTAAATTATTTTAGTCCAGATAAAGATAAATGTACAACTAATGTTACAAAGAATAACTTGTCTATTGATTGTAACGCTGATCATGTGAAAAATAATGAGGTAAAAAATACTATGTACAAGCAAGAAAAACACGATTCAATTAGTCCGGGTAATACTGACCCAGATAAACTTAATAATTTCAAAAGCCCATGTAAACCAATAGTTAAATTTTTGTCTAAAATGACATTAAATACTAAAAATTTTTCTCCTAAAAATAAAGATATAATAGTAGATAGTAAAAACAAAATTGAAAATAAATTACTTCAAAACAAATCAAATATTAAATTATCATTGATATCCGATTCAGAATGTAGTAATAGTGATATTGAAGATGATGTACGATCAATAATAGATTTTGAACATGAAACTAATTGTAATAAGCAAATTCAAAATAAAAAAGTAGATAATATACCTGTTTTAACAAAAAGCAACAGAAGTATACAATATGCAAGCAGTTCTGATGATGAAATTTACACTAAACTTCGACAAAATATATCTAAAATAGAAAATAAAACAATAACATGCGAACAAATAAAAAATCAACCATTTCATGAAATGTATTCTAGTGATGATACATCTGTATCATCTTCAAAATCGCTCCAATTAAATACAACAAAAATCAATTCTATTAACACATTTGAAACTCACAGATGTAACATAATTAATAACAAATTTTTAAATGAAAAACAAAATAAAGTATCAATGGTAAATGAAGAGTCTACAAATCTTCAATCATCAAAATGTACTAATGATAAAAGTAAATTATTACCAAATATTAGTTGTGAAAAAAATAATAAAATTGATTTGATCAAACGCATTTTAAATGAAGGCTCTAGTAGCAATGATGAAATCAATAGTAAACCTCTTCAAATTATTACTAATGAAATTGAAAAACCAAATATAAATGATACTAGACAAATATCAACTTCAAATGTTTTAAAATTAAATGAGAATACTAAAACAGAATTAAATAAAGATATTGTAAATCCTTTTATTGAATCCCATACACAAAATATAAGCTCAATTTCAGTAGATGATGCATCCAATTTTAAGTCAACAAAGGATAAAACAAAAACATATAAACCAATTAAAAATCAACAATTTCATGAATTGCATTCTAGTGATGATGAAAGTGTTTCTTCATTTAAACTTCATGGTACATCTTTAAAAACGCTTCAGTCAAATACATTAAAAGTCAATTATGTTAATGAGATCAATACTGAGAACTGTAACATAATGAGTGACAAACTTTTAAACAAAAATTCATTAAAAAAACAATATAAAACACTACCGGTTAATGAAGAGTCTACAATTCTCCAATCACCAAAATTCAGTGATGATAAAAGTAAATTATTATCAAATATAATGAATTGTGAAAATAATAGTAAAATTGATTTGATTAAAAAAATTTTAGAAGATTCTAGTAGTGATAATGATATTAATTTAAAACCTTCTCAAATTAAAATTCCAGATAAAAGTGAAATAAATAAAAGTTGTTCTAACCAAATGCCAACTTCAAGTGTCTTAAAATTAAATGACAATACTAAGGTCTTAAATGAAAACATTGTTAATCCATTTATTAAATTTTATACAAAAAATACAAGCTCAAGTTCAGAAGAAGATGGATCCATTATTAAGTTGACAAAATCAAAAAAAAATTATTCTTCAAAAAAAAAGATTGTACCATCAGTAAAACAAGAAGAGGACCATAAAAATGTTTTAATTAATCAATTATTGAGTTCAATAAAACATAAAGAAAAAAAGCCCAAAAAGAAATTCTTTTCTGAACAAATTAATTGTAATGCTTCTTTGTGTAGAAAACCTGCCAAAAGTAAGGAATCAAAAGAAGATGAATTAAAAGTTAAAACTAAAAGTAAAAAAGATGTTTTAAAAAAAGTAATAACCCCTGTTGGAGAATCAAAATCAAATAAATTGACTCTAGATAATACCCCAAATAATATTATGTTACCTTCAAAAATATACATTTCTTCCAATGATGGTACTGATGACGAAATTGATTTGATAAAAAAAATGATGAAAAGTCGAAAATTAAAAATAAAAAATGATAGATCAGAGTCAATTTTTTCAAATAATATACTTACAAAACCAGATAAGATAAATGCAACTTCAGAAAAAACAAATAGAAATTTTAAATCTTGTAAGACACCAACAATTTTAACAAATGAATTAATCAGTAACAATACAAAACTAAAGAAAAAGAGACCCATAGAGAGCAAAGATCTACTTTTAAACAGTATATTAAATTCCTTAGGAAGTTCTTCAGATCATTATCCTCCAACTAAAAAGAAAAAAAAAAATGAAATAATTCAATTAACTGATGAATTTAAAGATGATTATTCTGAAAAAAGCTTATCAAAGTCTAAAAAAAAGAAAAAAGATCATAATTTAGTTATTGAAATAAATGAAAAGAACTCTGGTCAACTTTTGTCTATGTCCAAAAAGAAGAAGAAAAATCTTGATTTAGTTTTTGAAGTAAATGATAAAACAAAAAATAAAATCTCCAATGAAAGTATAGCAAAGTCTAAAACAAAGAAAAAAAATCATAATTTAGTTATTGAAATAAATGATGAATTTAAAGAAAAGAACTCTGGTCAACATTTGTCTATGTCCAAGAAGAAGAAAAATCATGATTTAGTTTTCGAAGTAAATGATAAAACAAAAAATAAAATCTCCAATGAAAGTATAGCAAAGTCTAAATCAAAGAAAAAAGATCATAACTTAGCTATTGAAATAAATGATACATTAAAAGATAAAATCTCTGATCCAAGTTTAGCCAAGTTCAAGAAGAAGAAAAAAAACCACTCTTTAGTTATTGAAACAAACGATGAATCAAAAGATAAAACCTCTGATCAAAAAGCATCCAAGTCTAAGAAAAGAAAAAAAAATCAAAACTTGGTTATTGATACGAATGATGAATTAATTGATAAAAACGTATTTGAATTGAAAAAAAAGAAAAAGGAGAAAACCAAAAATAGTAATTATGATATACTTGTAAAAGAAAATAAAAGTCAATGTTATGATTCCCCTGCTATATCCCACAATGAATTAATAAGAGAAGAAAATTTACCTATAGATGTAACAAAAAAGAAAAAAAAAAAGAAGGAAGTTAAAAAAGATTCATTACTATCTGATACTCAGAATCCTTCAATTACTGACATATTAAGTACATTTGAAGTAGAGTTGGAAGATCGAAATTTAAATAGTCAGAAAGAAAAAAAGAAAAAGAAAAAAAAAAAATTTTGTAAATGTTAATAGTTAAATGTCCCAATAATTTTTATTTAAATAGGGTATAATTGTTTTTAAAGAGAATCAAGAATGACAATGATTTACTAGATTTTATTTGTATGTACTATAATTTTGAGTATTTTTATTTAAACTTTATTATTTTTTACAATAAAAATAAAGAATTATTTATTTTATGTATATAAATAATGTATGTTACTACGTTATGTAAAATTATAATTTTAATCAGTTTATATACAATTACTATTTTATTGTAAACTTAAATGATTTGGAAATTATATGTTTAAATGAGAAAAGTTTAATTATTTAGTTTACATTGTGAAAATATTTTTTTATAGTTATCATTTTTTTTAAGCTAACCATTACAAAAATAATTGGTAAAATATTTTATTCTACTTTTTTAAAAAAATGTACATTTACATAACACAAAATTTATTATAAAAATAAAA